TGCACTCCAGTCTGGGCAACAAGAGCAAAACTCCATCTCCAAAAAAAATTATAATAATTAAAAAGAATTTTAATCATCATCAGGTCATCTAGTCCAATGTAATTAATTCTTGTTCTGCTTGATCTTTGGTTAGCAATTTCATGAATGAGTCAGTTTTTCCATTAGTGTTCAGGAAGTTCAGCGATATGATCTTAAAGTCATCAGGAATGTGTACTTGAGTTTTCTCCATGAATCTCCTTAAATACAAATGCACTTTCTTGAGGTTTCTGGGCCTACCAGGAAGTGACTTTTCTTACTCATTAGCACAGTAGCCATGCAAAGAAACCACATAAGCATGGTGGTTCATATTACAGTTGTTTGCAAAAGCTTTTAGGAATGCATCAAAATAAACCAATTAACTGTCTGTGGATGACAAAATACTTTAAATGGCCATGGTTAAAGGATGAGAATTCATTGTAATACAATTGAGAAAAAAATTCAGTTACTTCTGTCACATACATTTTAAGATAATAACTAGAATTATAACTGACACCATTATATCAGGACCCATCAGATCTCTAGGAACTTCACGCAATTTCTGGAACACATTATAACATAAATACATACAAATATAACATAAAGAAGGTTTAGCATCACTTCTTTTTTAACAATGCTTCCCATGTAATTTAACATACCAAATTAATTTAACAAGTTTGTTTTTATAAGAAGAAAGACAAGCCTGGGTACGGTGGCTCACGCCTGTAATCTCAGCACTTTGGGAGGCTGAGGCAGGCGGATTATGAGGTCAACCAATTGAGACCATCTTGGCCAACATGGTGAAACCCCATCTCTACTAAAAATACAAAGATTAGCTGGTTGTGGTGGTGCATGCCTGTAGGCCCAGCTACTCGGGAGGCTGAGGCAGGAGAATCTCTTGAACCCAGAGGCAGAGGTTACAGTGAGCCAAGATTATGCCACTGCACTCCAGCCTGGCAACAGAGTGAGACTCCATCTCAAAAAAAATAAAAAAGAAGGAAGACAAGTCCTTTGTGACTTTTTAGGGGTCTTCAGGAAAATTCCAAAGTTAGTTCAAGGTCAAAGACTTCATGTAGAGTTTGATTTTGCAAAGTTGTCAAAAACGCCAAAAAGATGACTGGGCTCAGTGACTCATGCCTATAATCCCAGCACTTTGGGAAGCCAAGGCAGGAGGATCACCTGAGCCCAGGAGTTCGAGATCAGCCTGGGCAACATAGGAGGAGACCTCATCTCTAAACAAAGTTTTTAAAGGACAGATTTTTTTTTAAAAGGCAAAAGACTAAAGTTTTTGATTAAATAGGATCACAGGTCACTGTAAAACATTACTCAGTTATCCATTTAACCAAAGCACTGGAAAATTTCAGAGGTAATCACAGAAAGGTATATAGATTTTGTTTTTTTAAACTTAGCTCTTTTAATAGAGAAGACTGAGTCTTCTTAAGTAATCAAAGACCTGATAAAGACAATATGAAACACAGGAAATTATTCTGATAAGATGCATATTTTTTCCACCTAAGCAAATTCTAGATTTCCTACACAGATTACATAGACGGTAAAGAAAACCCTTCCATAGTATTTTATCAAGAGAAGTCCAATACTCCAATAAAACTTTGTAATTTTAAGAGAGAAGATGAAACTCTAGTTTTGGATTGTACTTTTGATATTAAAGCTCATCTTTGAGATCCTTATAATAAATTGATTCAATTTTAGCCAACTTAATCACACAAGAATCTCTCTCTCT